TTTCAACTCCCAGAATTCCCCAGCCAGCCATGCTGGCCAGGGAATTCTGGGAGTTGAAATCCACTCATCTTAAAGTGCCCAAGTTTGGACAACACTGGCTTACACCGTATAGACAGAATCTTGCCAGGGGGGAGACAAATGACAGCACAGTCCGGGGCAGGAGTGTGGGAAGAGGAAGAGATTTAGGATAGCCACTCCCTAGAATCTCCCAGGGTATGTCCACTAGGTTAGAGTAGTACAGATTTAGTCTGGCAAGATTCTGTCTATAGGGTGTAAGCAATAAAGGAATGGAATTTGGATGAACTGTTTCCATGTTGTTCTTGGGCTGGGCCTGACAGAACGTCAGTATTGAAAGGCACTGAACAATCTAGGAGGGCAAGGATGTCAGTGCTCCTTTTTTCAAGACCCTTCAGAGATCACCATGTTGTATGTTGTAGCCCTTAAATTTGTAAACCAGCCAGTTATGGTTTATTCATCAAATCATGGTTTAAACATAACGTGTTAACCCATAAAGTGTGTTTTTGATTGCAGTTTTGCATCAATCTAGCCATTGATACTGAAACAATGCACTTTTTTAATGCAATAGGTAAGCTCAGTTTTAGACTCAGAACTGGAAAGGGTCATTTAGGCATCAAATTGAACCCTGTATTCCCTGCTAGAATCCAAATTAAGCATTCCTGACAGATGGCTCACCATCTCTGCTTGAAGATACCCAATGAAGGAGTAGGGCACAATCTCCCTAAGAAATTGGTTTCACTGTAAAATTGTTCTTACTTAAACTGGACACTCTTGAGGCCAGATTTTCCATAAGCGCATAAACATTCAGCGGGGGAACTCATGGCCTCAGAGTGTCAAATGTGGTTCACAACATCCTTCCAGATTTTGTTGTTCAGCAGCAACAGATCTTCATACTGCCATATCTCTCTGGCTTGTTCTGTTGCATTCTCTGTATAAGACTGAATGTGAATGCACGTATGAGAGAGTTTTTGTCTTATGTAAGAAAATGTGTTAAGTGTGCATTTGAATTTTTTTTCCTCAAATATTTCTTTAATTATTTTAAAACTGGAAATCAACTGAGATGTGAAGGGTTAAGGACTACAGTTACATTAAATAATTTAAATTTATACTCAGTTCTCAGTATTTCATTGTTGTAATTTTTTTCTCAGACCATGCCCACTTTCAAAATCTTTGTAGCCCTACATATCTGAAAACACAACCCCTGATTTTCTATATCCCTTTCTGCTTCTTTCTGCTTCAAAACCTTTTAAAGAAAGAAGTGCATGTTTGCTCTCTTCTCTCCAACCTCCACTGTGATGACTGCATTTAGAAAAGAAAGCCACAATATTACTGGCAGGAAATCCTTAAATAAAACTGTAGTGCTAAAATCATCTCTGTCCAGGCCAACTGTACAGTTCTAATGAGAACTGACTGATTACAAATTCTAGCTCATTCACATCAATGCAAATTTCTCCTTTATGATACAATCAAGTTTAAATAAAGTATTAGATGCTAATTCTGCACCTTTCCTATGAAATGCCTCCATATCCTAGCGAGCTGATGTGATAATATGCTGAAGGAAATGCATTCTGAACATATTCAGATGGGTTTATTGATCAACATCTTTTAGATATTTATGTATTTATTTAATTCAACTTACGCACCACCTGATTCCAACTGACTGGGAGGTTCGCAATATAATACCATAAAACCAATGCAAATGACAGCAAGATGGGATGTGGGAGTAATGTACAGGCAAAATCAAAAATAACAGACTTGCCCAACAGTAGGCCCCATCCATCTCAACCCAAGGCATGGGAGCGCAACCAGATCTCCAAGGCTTTACAGAATGCCAACAGGGTGGGAGCCACACAGATTTCAGGGGGATCTCATTCCAAAGGGCAGGTGCTGTGACAGAGAAGACATGCTTCCTGGGTCCCGACAGATGACACTGCTTATTCGAAGGGATTTGGAGCATGCAGGGTGAGAGATAGGTGTCCCTCAAATAACCTGGCCCCGTAACCTGGCTTTATAGGTAATAACCAGCACCTTGATTTGCACCCAGAAGCAGACTAGCAACCAATGCAGTTCATTTATTTATTTTGGGTGGTTATATTTATTTTTAGGAGGTGTTTTAGAATGTATGCTTAATTTGTTTAATTTATTTGGTCCTTGGAGACATATAAGTCAATGTGTGTATGTGTGTGTGTATCCTTTTTTA